TGGTCTGGAGCATCCTTACGCCAAGAGGACTCAATTTTGTATCAATGGTGGGTGTGGCCCTCCTGGGGGCAGAGGGGTGGGGCCCAATAGGAGATACAGGTTAAACCTTTAAAATCCTTCTTTTACCATAGGGATTGAGGGATTATATCCTAATTTAGTCTGGAGCATCCTTGGGCAAAGGGGACTCAATTGTGTATAAATGGTGGGTGTGACTGTCCTTGGGGCAGAGGGACGGGGCCCAAGTGGGTAAATAGAGGTAAAACCTTTAAAATCCTTCTTCTACCATAGCAATAAAGAGATTTTATCCTAATTTAGTCTGGAGCATCCTTGGGCCAAGGGAACTCAATTTTATATAAACAGTGAGTGTGGCCCCCTGGGGGCAGAGGAGCAGGGCCCAAGAGGGGAAACATAGCAAATTCTTCTAAATCCTTCTTCCTCTGTAGGAATGACAGGATTTTGATTAAATTTTGGATTAAGTACCCTTGGGTGAAGGGGAACCAATTTTGTATAAATGGTAGGTCACACCACTCTTAAACAAGAGGCCTGAATCGCTCACCTGGTATTAATCTCACACTTGCAATCTTAAAAGTGGACAAAAATACAGCTACAGACAGTTTGATTCATAAGATCTATTCAAAGATTTAAACAAATGACCTTGAATGTCGAACAAGGACATTAGATTGAACAGAGTTTATAGTATTTCAACCCAGCATGCTTCTAGCAAAATATCATTACCCTGGACCTTTTGGTTATACAGAACAAATCATCTAAAGATTTAAACATATATCACCCCTGTGACCTTGAATATGGGCGAAGATCATTCATTTCAACAAACTTGGTAGCCCTCCATCCCAGCAAGTTAATGGCAAAATATCATCACCCTTGGCCTTTTGATTATTAAGAAGTCATTCAAAGGTTTTAAATGTATTTCACCCCTGTGACCCTAGGCCTCTTGGTTATTCAGAATAAGTTGTTTTAATGTTTTTAACATATTTCACCACTTTGACCTTGAATATAAATTAAGGTCATTTATTTGAACAAACTTGGTAGCCCTTCATCCCAGCAAGTTACAGACCAAATATCATCAACCTAGGCCTCTCGGTTATTCAGAAGAGGTTGTTTAAATGTTTTTAACATGTTTGACCCCAGTGAACTTGAATATAAGTCAAGGTCATTTATTTGAACAATCTTGGTAGCCCTTTATCCCAGCAAGTTACTGGCCAAATATCATCACCCTTGGCCTCTCGGTTATTCAGAAGTCGTATAAAGGTTTTAAACATATTTCACCCCTGTGACCTTGAATATAAATCAAGGTCATTTATTTGAACAAACTTGGTAGCCCTTCATTTCAGCATGTTACTGGCCAACTCTCATCAACCTAGGCCTCTTGGTTATTCAGAAGAAGTCGTTTAAAGGTTTCAAACATATTTCACCCCTGTGACCTTGAATAAAAATCAAGGTCATTTATTTGAACAAACTTGGTAGCCCTTTATTTCAGCATGTTACTGGCCAAATAGCATCACACTAGACCTCTCGGTTATTCAATTCAATGATCACCTGCTAAACACCAGAGAAGTTTTTACCAAATTCAGTCTGAAGCTTCAGTAAGGGAGTGCAATCATTAATCATNAAGCATCACTAGGGGAGGGCAATCAGACCCCTGAGGCCAAGGGGGGGGGGGGCTGAAGGGGAACTTAGCTAAATTTGCTTTAGAACGCATTTCCTCTTAAACCCCAGAGACAATTTTAACCAAATTTGCTCTGAAACTTCATTAGGGAAGGGAGATCATTTCTTAAATAAATGAGGTTGGTTCGATCCCTGAGGCCAGGGGGCGGGGCCCTGAAGGGGAACTAACCTAAATTTGCTTCAAGACGCATTTCTTGCTGAACGCCAGAGAGGATTTCAACCAAATTTAGTCTGAAGCATCACAAGAAAAGGGCATTCATTTCTTAAATAAATGAGGTTGGTTCAACCCCTGAGGCCAAGGGGACTTAGCTAAATTAGCTTTAAATTCGCATCTCCTCCTAAACACCGTAGAAGATTTCAACCAAATTCAGTCTGAAACTTCATTGAGGAGGTCAATCATTTCCTAAATAAATGAGGTTGGTTTGACTCCCGAGCCCAGGCGGTCAGGGCCCTGAAGGGGAACTTAGCTAGATTTGCTTTACAGCGCATCTCCTTCTAAACATCAGAGAGGATTTCGACCAAATTTAGTCTGAAGCATCACAAGAAAACGGCAATCATTTCTTAAATAAATGAGGTTGGTTCAACCCCTGTGGCCAGGTGGGTCAAACCAACCTCATTTATTTAAGAAATGATTGCCTTCCTTACTGATGCTTCAGACTGAATTTGGTTGAAATCTTCTTTGACGTTTCGGAGGAGATGTGTTTTAAAGCAAATTTAGCTAAGTTCCCCTTCAGGGCCCTGCCCCTCTGACCTCAGGGGTCAAACCAACCTCATTTATTTGGAATGATTGCCCTCCCCCAATATAGTTTCAGACTCAATTTGGCTGAAACATTCTTTGGTGTTAAGGAGGAGATGCGTTTTAAAGCAAATTTAGCTAAGATCCCATTCAGGGCCCTGCCCCCCTAGCCTCAGGAATTGATTGCCCTCCCCCACTGAAGTTGCAGAACAAATTTGGTTAAAATTGTCTCTGGGATTTAGGAGGAGATGCGTTTTAAAGCAAATTCAGCTAAGTTTCCCTAAAGGACCCCGCCCCTCTGGCCTCAGGGGTTGAACCAACCTCATGTATTAGCTCATAAGTGACCTTATGCAGTGGCGCAGCGTCCGGCGTTGTCCGGCGTAAACTTTTTCTTTAAAACCTCCTAAATGCCAAAGAGGATTTCAACAAAATTTAGTCTGAAGCATCACTAGGGGAGGGCAATAATTTCTTAAATAAATGAGGTTGGTTCGACCCCTGGGGCCAAGGGGGCGGGGCCCTGAGGGGGAACTTAGCTAAATTTGCTTTAAAACGCATCTTCTACTTAACGCCATTGAGGATTTCAACCAAATTTAGTCTGAAGCATCACTAGGGGAGGGCAATAATTTCTTAAATAAATGAGGTTGGTTCGACCCTGAGGGCAGGAGAACGGGCCCTGAAGGGGAACTTGGCTAAAATTTTGCATTAAAGCGCATCTCCTCCTCAACCACTGGGACGATTTTAACCAAATTTGCTCTGAAACTTCATTGGGGGAGGGCAATCATTTCCAAAATAATGAGGTTGGTTCAACCCTTGTGGCCAGGTGGGCGGGGCCCTAAAGGGGAACTTACCTGAATTTGCTTGAATATGCATCTCCTTCTAAACCCCAGAGACGATTTTAACCAAATTTGCTCTGAAACTTCATTGGGGCAGGGCAATCAATACCTAAATAAATGAGGTTGGTTCGACCCCTGAGGCCAGAGGGGCGGGGCCCTGAAGGGGAACTTAGCTAAATTTATTTAAAACGCATCTCTTCTTAAACGCCATAGACAATTTCAACCAAATGTAGTCTAAAGGATAAGTAGGGGAGGGCAATCATTTCTTAAATAAATAAGGTTGGTTCGACCCCTGAGGCCAGAGGGCGGGGCCCTGAAGGGGAACTTGGCTAAAATTTGGTCTGAAGCATCCTTGTGGGCCCCTAAGAGCACTGCGAGGTCCAATAGGGGAAATAATGGAAAACTCTTATTTAGTCTTGAGCATCCTTGGTCCAAGTGGAATTTTGTATACCGGAGGGTGAGGCCGAATATAGGAAATAGAGGTTAATCTTATAAATCCTTCTTCTACCATAAGGATTAAGTAATTCATCCCAAATTTGGGCACTCAATTTTGTATAAACGGTGGGTGTGGGCCCACTTGCAGCAGAGGGGCAGGGCCCAATAGGGTACATGTGTGTATTAAGGTATTTCATACAGGCTCATGTCCGTGTATGTAGTATGCAATGGGCTCATAACTTGTCTTATATTAGTATTTAACACATAGTCGGCCTGTTATCCAGTGAATTCGCCCATGTAATATTTTTACATATGTCACTAGTGTAATATACCCACAAGCGTTTTCTTTTGGCTGTGCCAGTCAGAAATTGATTGTGATGTCATTATATGGACAATGACATGATATCATAAATTGTGAATGGCGCAACAAAATGGCTGTCACTGTTTGATTAAGCTCTTTACATTTTGGCTTTAAAACCTGTCAAAATGTAAGTTTTCTGAGTTATATGATAAAAAGTATCTTAAATTTGTTTTCATTTCATATGAGCTTTATGAAGCTCGTCTCAAGTTTTTATTTTTGCTCGCCAAAGTTCGCAAAAATAAAAACTCCTGAGACTCGTTTCATAAAATCTCATATGAAATGAAAACTCATTTAATATATATATATATTACTCATATGACTATAACACACCTGTATACAAGTTTCAGGTCAATATTAGGTCTAATCTAATTCCGTGAATTGATACATTACTTACTCTTACACTTAACAATATGTTAGATTATCCATATATTTTTTTTTTACTGAAAACGTATTTATTACAGAGTATAGTAAACCATCAAGTGGGAGGACTGCATTACTTTGGAGTTTCTCAGCATTTAAAAAGATGAAAGTGGCCCTAAGAAGGGCTGTTTATGCATATTCTATGACAGAATAACACAAAGAAGGCTTGTTGAATTGTTGTTTAATATAAAAATTCATTACTGTCTCACAAAAGAGTTGTATAGAACATGTATAGAGACATATTGGTTATTTGGTAGGTTTGGTTTAATTTTGTTTAACGTCCTATTAACAGCTAAGGTAATTAAAGGACGTGCCTCCATGTGTGTAATGTATGCGTGCTTGTGGGTGTATATGCAGGAGACATGTTATGCTGGTGTGCTTGCCTCCTTTTGATAGCGCGAATCTGATGCCGACTTTATAGTGCTATCTCACTGAAATGCCATGCCGAAGGCACCAAGCACAGCAATTTGCCTGGTCACATTATACTGACAACGGGTAAACCAGTTGTTGCCATTTCCCCAAATGCTGAACGTTAAGCAGGGAATAACAACTACCATTTTTAAGGACTTTGGTATGTCCTGGCCTGGGGACAGAACCCATTGTCTCCCTCACCAGGGCGAATGCTCAACAGTCAAGCCAAAAGTGAAGTGTTACCAAGCAAGGCTCTGGGAAATAAAAGGTAGTTAAAAGTAGAAAGAAAGATAAAGATCCCAAATATTGCAATGGGAGCAGGTATAGAGTAGTAAAAGTTTCCTCCAGTAGATGACCCTAACCTTCTTTCAAAGTCAAAGGTCAAATGAGTGATTTTTTTCGTACAACATCTTTTTAATAATGAAGAGTGCTAGGATGATGATTGTTGGTCAATAGCATGTTGGGATATAGTAGTAGAGAGTAACCTGGAAGCCCAGGGTAATGATATTTAGCCAGTATAAATGGAGGGTCTGGCTACCCAGAGTGCAGCAGGACGGGCTCAATAGAGGTATCCAGAGAAAAATCTTCAAATTCCTCCTCCAGTGCAGATTAAGTGATCACAGTAATTTAGTCTGAAACAATCTTAAGCCAAGGAAACTCAATATGTGGAAATATATGCATTTCAATGACAGTAATGCAGAACGTCATTTAAAAAAATCCTTTATATGATTATCTTAAATGACTGTATATAATTTGCACCCAGCAGAAGGCTGTGGTAGTCTTAACTGGCACTTCTACTGAAACACCTGGAACCTCAAACTTGTGGATATTTATTTCTTAACAAAGATGACTTTAAACCATTCTTCAACTACATAAGATCTTGTCCTCATTATCACAGTATCATCATACGTCGCTGGCGAAGGGCAGTATCACATTCTGGGATAGACACATCTGTTCTGTCAGTAGATAATAGCTCTGTTTCATCACCGTCCATGTCCTGTAGTCCTACAAGGTCTGGAACCATTCTACCTGACCCCAACATTGGTTCTACAATATAGTAAATAAAATCCATCAATTACAAAAAAAATCAAAGCAAAAATTCGTTATTATAGTTACAAGAGACAAGAGGCCTAATGGGTCAGTATCACTCAACTGGTATTAGCATCACACTTGAGACCTAAAAATTGACGAAAATATAGCTACAGGCAACATATCATTATCCATAACTCAAAGTCATTCAAAAGAATTCAGTTAAAAGAATTAAACACATTTGACCCGTGATTTTGAAAGTCAAACAAGTACATTAAGTACATATAGCCCTTCATCCCAGCATGCAAATTGCCAAATATAACCAACCTAGAACTTTTGTATAATGAGATTAGGTCATTTAAAGGTGTATACACATTTGACCAAATGATTTTCATTCTCACACTTTGCCGGGCTTTATCTCAGGAAATCATCAACCAAATATGAAGATTCTATACCTTTTAGTTCTTCAGAAGTTGTTTAAAGAGTTTGACATATTTGACCACTGTGACCTTGAAAGAAAGTCAGGGTCATTTTCATTCTCAAACTTTGTTGGGCTCTATCCAAGGAAGCCACCAGCCAAATAAAAACATTCTATACCTTTCAGTTCTTCAGAAGTCGTTTGAAGCGTTTGACACATTTGACCCCTGTTACCTTGAAAGTAGGTCAAGGTCATTTTCGTTCTCAATGTTTGCTAGGCTCAAACCCAGGAAGCCATCAACCAAATATGAAGATTCTATACCTTTTAGTTCTTTAGTAGAAGTCGTTTTTAGCATTTGACATATTTGATCGCTGTGACCTTGAAAGTAGGTCAAGGTCATTTTTGTTCTTAAATTTGTCTGGCTCCTATAAACAAAGCTTTCAGCCAAATATCATGACTCTAGGCCTGTCCTCTCTTCAGAAGAAGTTGTTTAAAGGAAAAGTTGACGGACAAGGATGGACGACGGACGGACGACGCACCATGAAAGCACTTCATCCAAGCGTGCTACTGGTTAGTTATCAACATTCTTGGCCTTAACTTTATTCAGAAGAAATCATTTAAAGGTTTAAAACATGTTTCACCCCTGTGACCTTGAACATAAGTCAAAGTCATTGATTTGAACAAACCTAGTAGCTCTTCATGCAAGCATGTAACTTGCAAAATATTTGCACCCTTGGCCTTTTGGTTATTCAAGTGAAGTTTGATTTTTTTTGACCTCCGTGACTTTGAATATAAGTCAAAGTCATTGATTGGAACAAACTTTGTAGCCCTATATCAAAAACATGCAACTGGCCAAATATCAAAATCCTGAGCCATATGGTTATTCAGGAGATGTCAGTTAAAGGTTTAAAACATATTTTGCCGCTGTGACTTTGAATATAAGTCAAGGTCATTGATTTGAACAAACTTCGTAGCCATTTATGCCAGCATGTCATTGCCTAAATATTATCACCTTTGGCCTTTTGGTTACTCATTAAAAAAAAATTGAAGTATGTTAGCCTTTCATACCAACATGTTACAGACCAAATATCCTTACCTGTGGCCTTTTGGTCATTCATCAGAAGTTGTTTAAAGCAAAAAGTTGACGAGGGACAGACGCCGGACGCCATACCACGATAATGCATAAGCAGTCGTTTGCCAGTTCTCACATGCATGATAGCTTAGAATTGGCAAGGCTCATGTCTGCCAATCCGAAAAGTTACCTTGTTCCCTGTCTCTTTTGGCCTGAACCTTTTGCCTGTGTTGTTCCTTGTTCTTGTGCTTCTTTTCTTTCATCAGGTCTAACTGTGAGACATTTCTGCTACCAAATTGATACCATGAGAGCCCGCAAATGAATGTGAGAGCAAAGAAGTTGAAACTGATTCCAAACATGGCAGAGAACACAGGCCAATGGAACAGAATGTACCTGAAACACAAAATATGGAAAACTCAAATGACAAGAAATACCAAACGAATCACCATTCATTGTAAGATCCTAATCAGTTCTAAGTTTGATCTTTTGTTGTCTTCTCTTGTCTTTTAAGTGAGTCATGTTAACAGTGAATTCCTCCTGTGTTAACTACTTATCTATGTATTCCTATGATAAATGTTGTACTTTTAATGCTGCTCCATGACCTACTGACTAGTGTGCAATCTAAGGACAAAAGGCAGATTGCGATATATTGTTGATAAGAATCCAGGAATTCTGCACAACTAAGCAAACCTGTACATGGATATACTGAAAAAATTGGGCAGATATTTGTAATGTTGGGTAAAAGTGGAGATATACTTAACATTCAATATTTACAATTGACAGCTCACTACGTTTCGTCGTCCATCTTGTTGTTTTCACATTCGGAATCTAGTTACGTAATCGGAAGTGTTCTGAGTAACTTTGGCGGGAACTGTGCACGTGCAGTTTGCTGTATTCGGTCTATATAACTCGATGGTTTCGTATAGTTCGTCAGTCAGAATAGAAGTCCTTATGAGACTGCCTGGCTCTCTCTCTCTCTCTTTCTTTCTAGGACTTTTTAGGTAATAATGTAGGGCCAGCAGTAATGTTTAGCATTAGGGGTAGGAAGTAGTCTATACACATGTAGTTAGAATTCCAATGTAGAATCTGTCATCTAGCTTATAGCAAGCAGCGTAGGAGTATGCCTCGCAGCCACTAGTTTTAATGAACGGTGTTGTATAGGGTGCGTGTGTGGGTGAGATATTTGTTATCGTGTACTGTAATGCTATTATTTTACACTTGTTGTGTTGAATAAAAGATATTGAAATTTATATCCTTGAGTCTGTGGTCATTTGCCATACTTCATTTTCATCAATTTAAAAGACCCCAATATCAACAATTCTGGGTTAGGTTTCTTGGATAGAAACCGCTTCTTTTACATTGGTGCCGTGACCAGGATATTAGCAACCCATTTGGGGCATTTTTGATTTTTTTTGTGAAAAAAAAGGACAATTTGAAGTTGAAGTTATGGCGAATGAACGTGATTCAGGTGTGTTTACTAGGAGTAAATGGTCGTTATATACTTGGCCTGTCCCCTGTAACAGTAACAGAAAGTGTTACTACTCCTCCCTCTGGTAGCTCCTCTGCTACCAGTGGCGGACCCAGGAGTGTTGCCCTAGTTGCCCGGGCAACACCCTTTTTTCTGTGTCCAAAAATAATCTGAACCAAGGTTTTTGAAGATTTTCCTCTATTTCATATGGGATTTCCTTCTAATATCAACCATCTCTTGAACAATGATTTTCTATGGCTTCCCCTTGCCAGCAGTTTAAATTACTATATATGCCTAAGGGTGTTGCTTGCCCAAACAAGGAGTCCCCTACTTATACTCTAGACAATAGGGGATTCATCCTATATTGTCTATATATTAGTAGGATCTCCAGTCAGGTCAGTGTTCAAGGCTCACCAGATTGACTACCTAATGTCACGGTGTGGTGATCACCCTTTCAGTTGAGAGAGGACTATACCATCAGTTGGAATAAGGTATATAGGTAAAGTCTTATTTCAAAGGTAGAGTCTATTTCATGATAGATAAACCTGTATTTTCGACTGTGGTTTCATGTACACATGATCACCAGGAGTGATTTTTTTATACTTATTAAAAATTACAAATTTCAAAAATTTCAAAGACAGTGAAGCGTCACTGTATCAGGTGAATAATAACCAATGTTAGCATAAAAGCCTAGCATGTATATCCTTTTTCATTAGGTGTTGCCCTTGTGCATATGTATGCGTACAAATTCACAAAAAAAGACAAACAGTTAAATCATAATTCATATTTATGACAAAATAAATCAATATTTAATTGCCAAAATGCTCGCCTAAACTACATGCACATGAAGGGCATGACACAAGCATCAACATTTTAACCATTTTTTTAACAGAAATTGTTAACACTTGCTCCGCTCGGCCATCATAAAATATAAATACTCTTCGTTATAAAATATAACCTGGAATAATACCGCAAACTCAGAAAACTATTCTACGCCTCACTCGATCTGTTTGACAATTGAAATAATGTCCGTTAAATTCTTGCTTTCTACGCTCGGCAGTGCTTGGAATACTTTAGTATTACATCCTCAGAAAAAAAAATGCCTCGCTACGCTTGGCGGGGAAATCATAATTAATTGTCACAATCTCAGAAATATGAAATTCTATATATTTTTGGATGTCAGAAAGTAGTATACATGTACAACCGACATGACAATTCTAATTTATTAGTTCTAGATAGTTCTAAAATTTGTCTTTTTCTGAGTTTAAAATTTTAGGCAACACCCAAAAAAATTCCCTGGGTCCCCCCCCCCCCCCCCCCCCCCCCCCTGGATTCATATAGGACTGTGGGGAAAATTGTACTAGTACTGCATCCACTTGTTACAGGAATGTGACAGGAATGAGGGGGGGGCTCGATAGTTATAGAGATAGTCGGATACATGATTCTAGCACAGGGGCTAGACCAAAATCTGTTTCATTTGGGAGAGATACAGAATACCCTCCTCAGCCACCCGTAAGTAGTTACAATGGAATCGGGACTAGATCTAGTGATCAGCATTCTGATTTTAGGGATCCCGCTCGGGGTAACTTATATGAACCTGACACCCCCCAAATCACAGTACGGAGTGGTTAGACATGCAGTCAGGGAGGTCACATGAATATACAGGACCTAGTGAATTAGGCGAGACAAATCTTACCGCCCCACAATATGCTAGCACCCCAACAAAGTCCTGGGCACCACACGAGGGCTGTGAAACAGAGTTTCTTTCATACAGTAGGGATTATGGGGAACCCCCTAGGTGTCACATCGCAGTAAAAGTACATAGGAAACAAAAAGATCCCCAAAATTATGATGGTTCAAGTGATTTGAAAGATTACACCTTGCATTTTGAATAGGTAGCTCAGTGGAATCAGTGGGGGAATCATGAGAAAGCACAGCAATTAGCCATGAGTTTATGAGGACAAGCTCAGAAAGTTCTTGGAACTTTGACCGTTGCACAGATTGGCGACTTTGGGAAAATAAGGGAAAATTAGGGATGTTTTGTCAGCGCAATTTGACCCCCCCCCCCCCCAGGGGAGGGAAACCGCTTACAGATGCCAACTTAATCACAGTTAGCTATGGGAGAGAACTTAGGCAGTTGGCTAATTTAGCGTTTCCTGGAGTGTCCACTGAATCCTCAGAAGTTCATGTTGTAGACCAGTTTCTACATGGGCTTAACAGTATTGAAATGAAACGTCACGTACAGTTCCATCATCCAGCTTCCCTGGAGGCTGCGATTACCCTTGCAATAGAATATGAAGCTTTTGATAGGGAGTTGTGTACTCCTAAAAGGAAACCAAAAGCCTTTGTTGATGAGGTAGAACAAGGTCAGGTGCAAGTGGTTCAGGAAATTAGCCCTACATGTGAAAAACAAAGCAAAGATTTAGCCACTTTGTTTCAGAGGGGTTTGAAAAACTAAGAAAGCAATTAACTCGCTGTGAGAGGGAAAGGACAAAAGACAGGGCAAGGTACATACAGAGGTAAAGGTAGAGGTCAAGGTCAAAGTAACGACCAAGGTTAAGGTTAAAGTTATAGTCAAGGTCAAGGTCAAAGTCATTCTCGAGGGTATGAGAGAAGGTGATATCGCTGCAACCAGCCAGGACATTTTATAGCAGTAGTGTACACAGTCTCCTTATGGAAACAAGAGGCCCAAGAGGGCCTTTATCGCTCACCTGAATATTTAAGCAGTCATAGCAAAATATTCTCATTAAATATTATATTGCACTAAAAATATTTCCCTCGCAAACTTTGTTGGCTCCATCTGTTGAAACTACCAGCAAAATTTTATTACAAGATTCTACGCTTTTTGATTCTTCAGAAGTTGCTTGACATATTTTTCCCTGTGACCTTGTAAGTAGTTCAATGTCATTTTCCTTCTCAAATTGGTAAGCTCTATTCCAAAAGCTACCAGCCAAATCTTATGAATCCATTCCTTTTAGTTCTTAAGAACAAATCCATTAAAATGTTGTTGACCTCTGTGACCTTGAAAGTAGGTCAAGGTCATTTTTCATTAGCAAACTTTGTTGGGCTCTTTCCCAGGAAATAACCAGCCGAATATTAAGGTTCTATAACTTCCAGTTCTTCAGAAGAAAGATCTTCAGAAGAAGTAATTTGAAGTGTTTGACATATCTGCCTCATGTGACCTTAAAAGTAGGTCAAGGTCATTTTCATTCTCAAACTTTGTCGGGCTCTATCCCAGGAAGCCATCCATCAAATATAAAGATTCTATACCTTTCAGTTCTTTAGAAGAAATCATTTGAAGCTTTTGACACATTTGACCCCTGTGACCTTGAAAGAAGGTCAAGGTCATTTTCTTCCTCAAACTTTGTCGGGCTCTATCCCAGGAAGCCATCAATCAAATATAAAGATTCTATACCTTTCAGTTCTTCAGAAGAAATCATTTGAAGCTTTTGACACATTTGACCCCTGTGACCTTGAAAGAAGAACAAGGTCATTTTCATTCTCAAACTTTGCTGGGCTCCATCCCAGGAACTAATCAGCCAAATATGAAGATTCTATACCTTTAGTTCATCTGAAGAAGTTGTTTGAAGTTTTTGACATATTTGACTCCTGTGACCTTGAAAGTAAGTCAAAGTCTTTTTCATTGTCGAACTTTGTTAAGCCCCATCCCAGGAAGCCATCAATCAAATATCAAGATTCTATACCTTTCATTTCTTTAGAAGAAATAATTTGAAGCGTTTGACACATTTGACCCCTGTGGCCTTGAAAGTAGGTCAAGGTCATTTTGATTCTCAAACTATGTAGGGCTCCATCCCAGGAACTAATAAGCCAAATATGAAGATTCTATTCCTTGAGTTCATCTGAAGAAGTTGTTTGAAGTTTTTGATATATTTGACTCCTGTGACCTTGCAAGTAGGTCAAACTAATTTTCTTCCGCAAACTTTGTTGGGCTCTATCCCAGGAATCCATCTATCAAATATAAAGATTCTATTCCTTTCAGTTATTCAGAAGAAGTCATTTGAAGTTTTTGACATATTTGACTCATGTGACCTTGAAAGTAGGTCAAGGTCATTTTCATTCCCAAACTTTGTCGGGCTCTATCCCAGGAAGCCATCAATCAAATATAAAGATTCTATACCTTTCAGTTCTTTAGAAGAAATAATTTGAAGCTTTGGACACATTTGACCCCTGTGACCTTGAAAGAAGAACAAGGTAATTTTCATTCTAAAACTTTGTTGGGCTCAATCCCAGGAACTAATCAGCCAAATATGAAGATTCTATACCTTTTAGTTCATCAGAAGAAGTTGTTTGAAGTTTTTGACATATTTGACTCCTGTGACCTTGAAAGTAGGTCAAACTAATTTTCTTCCTCAAACTTTGTTGGGCTCTATCCCAGGAAGCCACCAGCCAAATATAAAGATTCTAAACCTTTCAGTTTTTCAGAAGAAGTCATTTGAAGCTTTTGACACATTTGACCCCTGTGACCTTGAAAGTAGGTCAAGGTCATTTTCATTCTCAAACTATGTAGGGCTCCACCCCAGGAACCAATCAGCCAAATATGAAGATTCTATACCTTTTAGTTCTTCAGAAGAAGTCGTTTGAAGTGTTTGACACATTTGACCCCTGTGACCTTGAAAGTAAGTCAAAGTCATTTTCATTATGAACTTTGTTAAGCCCCATCCCAGGAAGCCATCAGCCAAATATGAAGATTCTATACCTTTTAGTTCTTCAGAAGAAGTCATTTGAAGTTTTTGACATATTTGACCCCTGTGACCTTTAAAGTAGGTCAAGGTGATTTTCGTTCTCAAACTTTGTAGGGCTCCTACCAACAAAGCTTTCAGCCATATATCATGACTCTAGGCCGGTCCGTTCTTCAGAAATAGCTAAAAACTATTCAAAATGTAGTTTATAAATATATATATATATATGTAGGTGTGTTGTGCAGGATGAATCCGCTATTCATTTTTATCTAAGACATGCCCTTTATTTAAAGGATCAAGCCATTTCTACTGTACTCTGCTACCCTAGCAATCGGGAACCATCGGCCCTTTCCGTAAACGAGAAAATACCTCGGGAGTAAGTAGGTTGTCGCCATATTTGTTATCTCATTACCATATCGAGACCTACATTGCGAGGAGACCAACTTTTTGTAAACAAATATGGCTGCCTCCATGGGCTAACATGTGGATATCCCGATTCGGTGTGAAAGGGATGGATTCTGAGTAAATCATTAGCGTTTATGAGTTTGAGATGTGCGTGTGTTTATTCAAATTTTATACTGTATTTTTCTGATGTACTGTATTGATGTTATTTAGACGGCATTATATGTAATTAGCTTATGGAGTTATGCTGATAATCACACAGCTGTTTGAAATTCTGAATGTATATAAACAATAGTGATATATGATATCTATAACCACAGACTTAGATCCGTGCTATAACAGAGGTAGTACTACATCTATTGTTATAGTTCTAACTCTGTGTTTTATATATGTGTAGTGTTGTTTAACGCTTTATTGTCAGAGATACAAACACTTATAAGTATCGCTTTAATGTCAGGCCAAATTAAAGTTTGTTTCCTATCTCATTATATTTTGACTGCTGGTAGGTTATCAAAAGATTATTTTTTTACAAACATTTTAAGTCATTATCATAAACAATTTGGATAAATGTATGTAATTTGTAGGAAAATTTAAGTTTAAATTTTTTTAATTATCAGTATTTTCTTGGAATGCACTGATTCTGAATTAGTGTAATCTTCTAAATGGATTTAGACAAATCCAATTTTTTATTTTGGCTACAAAATATTTAAGGTTAGGAGCTCGAGGATTTTACTAGGTAGGTAGCTGAAAGGAAACACATATATTGTTTAGCCTCATCACAGAATTAGACTATCTAAGTCTGTGGTCTCATCATGGATTTTATTGTTCATAGCAAAACCACAAGTGATTTTGATCGAGGTTAATAATATAACCATGCAGTTATCAGCTCTGAATTCAATTTAAAGTGGGGAAATTTGAAATGACATATTGTCTTTTAGTTTCATTTGTACTCGATCTTGAATTAAAACTAAATCACAAAAAAGTAAGTTAGCTAAAGACAAGTATTCATAAAAACTTAGAAAAGAAGAAATTCCAATTTCATTTGGTAGAGTACATATCAATAAGGCACAGTTTTTCACTTCAGGTCTCAGATAAAATATTTTCCTAAGAAATATATAATAGAGGAAAAGTTTATAAAATAAAGAGACATAACAGTTATATATTACATATGCATATAACTGTTAAAATACATGTACATATTACATGTGTAGTGCAGTCCTCTATTAAATCTTTAAGATGACTTTTTGCAAGTTTAGGGAAATGGCAAAGTATTCTAAAACATATATTGATGTAAATATTCTAGCTACCAGGTTATACATGAAATCGAATACATTTGTTTGATATATGTTCTGGAAAAATGTTTTTTAAATCTTAGATGAATTTGTGAAAGTATAATTATCAATAGTAGGAAATCCAAAACATTGGTAGATAAACGGGATCCTCCACATGTTAACTTGAACTATCCTAACATACCTTTTAACCCGAGCTGGAAACATCATAGTATTTCAATGAATTACTTAGTAAAAATAACACAATTGGAATAGGCAGGAACAAGCTTCAGAAAATCAGTTAAACATGTACAGTTAACTGATGGATCAAGCTCCCCAATTATGAATTTCACCTTTGTCCTCAATGTGGCCTTGACCTTTGATGTAAAGACCTAGTTGAGGTATGCATCACTGCCTTTCCATCCTATATAAATCCCTAAAGTATCGCAAAGCTATATCTTTAGCAGGTCAGTAGTTATGACACAGACTATTTCGAATGAATGGACTGATGAACAAGCAACGACTATATATATGGTCCCCGAATTTCGTGTAGCATGAAAAGTAGGACAATAGTTTTCAATTTAGTGATGAGCCATGGACAAATATTTATAGAATGCCATTTCAGATGACTAGAAATACTAAGCTGCAATGGTTACAGTATAGACTGTTTTATTAACCTGCTTGTCATGAACCCAATACATTTGTTCAATTTGACCCATTCAAATTTTGAAATTTCATTAATTTTACATACCAGTAGAATGAATAACTGCTTTTCAGGGAAAATAGGACATGACTGCAAAAAAGATATGTAAAACACTGTATAGAATTTACTTAAATTCAAAATATATAGGGCAGGTTAAGTTGAATGTCCATATTGTAACAAACAAGAGGCCCAATGGGCCTGCATCGCTCACCTGTTATTAATCTAACACTTGTAATCTTAAGATTTCATCAGAACCTATTAAAAGATTTAAACATATGACGCCTCTGACCTTGATTGTCGAACAAGGACATTAGGTTGAAAGTGGATCAAGGTCATTCATTTGAACTAACATGGTAGTTCTTCATCCCAGTATGCTACAGGCCCAATATCAGTACCCTGGGCCTTTTGGTTATTGAGAAGAAGTCGCTTGAAGATTTTAAGACATCTGACCCCAGTGACCTTGAGGGTGGGTCAATGTCATTCATTTAAACAAACTTGGTAGCCCTTCATCCCAGCATGCTACAGGCCCAATATCAGTACACTGGGCCTTTTGGTTATTGAGAAGAAGTCGTTTGAAGATTT